CCACCTATGGTGATGTTGTCAAATCCTGTGGCAACATCCTCAAGGTAGTCTATAAACCATGACCCAACAAGCTAGTGCTACCTTCACTCAAGTGCCAAAGAAAGTAGAGCTCCCTTGCGGACACCACCCCCGAGCTATCCCCACTAGCAAACGTCGTGTTTGCTATAGTACGATGAGAGAGTCTGAATGCGGGGTGGATAATGGTGGTGGCCTTATCGGATCTAGGGTTGTACTCAAAAACCCCTGAGATTCTTCTCCAAAAATCTCCCGCATTATAACCACGGGGTTGTCTATCCTTAGGTCCGATAGTTCCGGTTGTGGGCCACCCAAAATCTTGGTTTACTCTTGCTACAGTCATTTTATGTTGGGTGTTCATGAGTTGGAAAGTTATGTAGCGGGGGGTCCTCGTGGTGTCCCGATGCACATAAAGGGTGGAGAGGAATTCAAGGGTTAGTCTCCTATAGGTTTGGGCATGCAATTATAGCCAAGAACCTAGGTTGACACCCTCAAACAACATCCTAAGATCGTCTCCTACCCCTAGGGCATCAGCTACCTCGTCATCGTAAAATGTAGTGGGCATAATTCGCATTGTATTGTGGTGGAGCAACGGGAGGAGGAGGCGATGGGTTCCTAAGTCTAGCGAAGGAGGTGTTTCTTGGGCGGTTTCTTCTTGACATGGTTGGTTCTTGTGCAAAGAAATTAAACACGTCACAATAATTCAAATCACCACACCAAATACACAAAAGCTCTAGGTCCGCCTAGGCAATAATTCAAAGCTCAAACAACACCAACAAACACCACATGAATCACGTTGGGGCTCTAGGTTCACCACCTAGGATCAAGTTCAAGAAATCACAAAAACAACCAAGATGGTCTTCACTATTTCAAGTCACAACAATTCAACACCAAGCTTTGCAAAACTCATGCATTCATGTCAACAATTCATCACAATAACAACACAACTAAGCTAGCATGCTCTTCATTCACCAAATTAATTCCTCCAAATCCTACTCACTTACAAACATCCAATTCTTACAAAATTCATAAAGCACTATCAATTTCAGCAATCCTTAACATATATCAACAATTATTCACTCACTACCAATTCAAACAACTTTTCAAGCAAAATTAAACACAAAATATCAAGATCTTAAGTTTGGAAGTAGCCAATAGAAGGAACGATTATACCGAGTCTAACGTGGGTGTAAAACCTGCAAATGAACCTTTCTAACCTTCCTTATGCTTGCTTGAGTCTTCTCCTTCAACCAATTGCTTTGATTTTCAATCCACAAGAAAACCCCCAATTTGATTTTTTTGGATAGGGTTAGGGAAATTTGGGTGTTTTTTTGGATTTAAAGATGGAGAATGGAGTAGTAGTTTGTGAATTTGTTGAAAAGGAGTGAGGATTTTGATGAAAAATGTTAAATTTGGATGAGGAATTGAGTGTTTGAGGGGTTTGAGTGGAGGAGGAAGAAGGAGTTTAGAAAGAGAGAGGAGAGAGAACCGTGAGATTGAGAGGGAAGTTGAGTGAATTTTTTTTATGTTGTTAGACGTGCTGACTGTTGCCTTATACAGGGGTTGGCACGGACGTGCAGCTCTAGCCAGAATAGTTGTTGGTTCTGTCTTCGAGTACACGGACGTGCTTATTTCTGCACGTCTGTGCCAAATCCCAAATTTCGATCGTTGAACTTTTGGCTGCTTCTGCTCTCATATGCACGGACGTGCAATGTTCTGCACTGCCGTGTAGACCTGATGGTGCATGGTTTAGGTTTTTTTTTTTTTTATTACTCCACTTTTTAACAAATACCTACAAAAGATATTTTTTTAAAAAAAAGGTTAGTAATAATAAAAATAAAACAATTGAAATAATAGTTTATGAGAAAGAGTGAGGAACTCGGGTTGCCTCCTGAAAGCGCTTATTTAACGTCACTAGCTTGACGACATTGCGGTATCAACATAAGTGAGGTACATCAAACTCATCAAGGTGAACAACCTTGGCCTCTTCATTCACAAAACCGTCAAAGTATGCCTTTAGCCTTTGGCCATTCACTTTGAACGGTTCACCATTGTCATTAGAGATTTCAATTGCACCATATAGGAACACCTTTTTGATGGTAAAAGGTCCACTCCATCTTGATTTTAGCTTATCCGGAAATAACTTCAACCGGGAATTGAATAATAAGACCTTGTCACCTTCCTTGAACTCCCTTTTGTTGATATGCTTGTCATGCCAAGCCTTGGTCTTTTCCTTGTAGATCCGTGCACTCTCATATGCATCCAATCTTAGTTCTTCCAAGGCATGGAGGTCAAGCAACCTCTTTTAACCAGCACTTTGAAGGTTAAAGTTTAACGTTTTAATAGCCCAATGAGCACAATGCTTAAGTTCCACCGGCAAATGGCATGATTTCCCATATACAAGCTTGTAAGGTGTGGTTCCAATGGGAGTCTTGAATGCGGTGCGGTAGGCCCATAGAGCATCATCTAGTTTCGTAGACCAATCTTTTCTAGACCTATCCGCCGTCTTTTCTAAGATCATCTTTATCTCCCGGTTTGAAATCTCGGCTTGACCACTTGTTTGTGGGTGGTAAGCCAATGACACCTTGTGCCTCACACCGTACTTCTCAAGGAGAGCTTGGAAGGATCGCTTTGCAAAATGCGAACCTCCATCACTAATGACGGCACGTGGCACCCCGAACCTTGGGAAAATTATCTTTTTGAAGAGCTTGACAACCACCTTAGCATCATTAGTAGGAGATGCAACCACTTCTACCCACTTTGACACGTAATCGACGGCTACAAGAATGAATTTATTCCCAAAAGAGGTCGGGAAAAGCCCCATAAAATCTATGCCCCATACATCGAAAATCTCCAACTCAAGAATGTTGTTCAAGGGCATTTCACTTCTTCTTGAAATATTGCCGGTTCTTTGACACCGGTCACAAGCTTTCACTACACCCCAAACATCTTTGAACATTGTAGGCCAATAGAAACCACATTGTAAGATTTTCGCCAAAGTTTTGTTACCACTCATATGCCCTCCGCAAGGTGAGGAATGACACATTGTGATAACACCTTCAATCTCATCATCCGGGATACACCTTCTAAAAAGGCCATCAACACCTTGTTGAAAGAGCAAGGGGTCGTCCCAAAAGTATTGGCAAACATCATGAAGAAACTTCTTTTTTTGTTGATAAGTGAGGTTGGGAGGAAGAATAGAGCAAGACAAATAGTTTGCAATGTCCGCAAACCATGGTACCGGTGCTTGAAGGATAGCAAATAGTTGATCATCCGAAAATGAATCATCAATTAGCAAGTTATCAAGATCACCTACGAAGATAGGCAACCGTGAAAGATGATCGGCCACAACATTTTTGGCACCCTTTTTGTCTCTAATCTCAATATTGTAATCTTGCAAGAGCAAGACCCATCGAATAAATCTTGGCTTAGGTTCCTTCTTGGACAACAGGTACTTCAAGGACGCATGGTCGGTGAAGACTATGACCTTAGAGCCCAACAAGTAGGACCTAAACTTCTCAATTGCATGAACAATGGCTAAAAACTCCTTTTTTGTGGTTGTATAATTTCTTTGTGCCTCATCCAATGTTTTGCTAGTATAATAGATAGCATGGAGCTTCTTGTCCTTCCTTTGTCCAAGAACGGATCCAACGACAAAATTCGAAGCATTACACATAAGCTCGAAAGGAAGCTCCCAATTAGGGGGTTGAATAATAGGAGCCGAAATCAAGGCCTCCTTCAACCTATCAAATTCTTGTAAACAATCATTAGTAAACACAAAAGGGGCATCTTTTACCAACAATTGAGTGAGCGGCTTTGCGATTTTTGAAAAATCCTTTATGAACCGATGGTAAAAACCAACATGTCCAAGAAAGCTCCTTATCCCCTTCACATTTGTAGGGGGTGGAAGGCGCTTAATTACCTCAATCTTGGCACAGTATGCTTCAATGCCCCTACTAGAAATCAAATGACCAAGAACAATGTCCTCCTCTACCATGAAATGACATTTTTCCCAATTCAAAACTAAGTTCACCTCTTGACATCTTTTTAACACTTTAAGCAAATTTGAAAGACAAGTGTCAAAAGATGAACCAAAAACAGAAAAGTCATCCATGAATACCTCAATTGATGATTCAAGCATGTCGGAAAAGATAGACATCATACACCTTTGAAATGTGGAAGGTGCATTACAAAGTCCAAATGGCATCCTTCGATATGCAAAGGTTCCAAAAGGACATGTGAATGTAGTCTTTTCTTGGTCCTCGGGTTGGATTGGGATTTGAAAGAATCCCAAGTATCCATCCAAGAAGTAATAATGACTATGTGATGCTAGTCTTTCCAATATTTGATCAATGAAGGGGAGTGGGAAGTGGTCTTTCCGGGTGGATCTATTCAATTTTCGATAATCAATGCACATCCTTCACCCGGTGACCGACCTCGTAGAAATGGTCTCACCCTTATCATTTTTTATGATGGCCATGCCTCCCTTTTTAGGCACAACTTGAAGCGGGCTAACCCACTTACTATCAGAGATAGGGTAGATTATGCCCGCCTCAAGAAGTTTTAAAACTTCTTTTTTTCACCACTTCCTTCATGTTGGGATTGAGCCTTCTTTGGGGCTCAATCGAGGAAGCATGATCATCATCAAATAGAATTTTATGCATGCATATGGTGGGACTTATCCCCTTAATGTCATCAATTTTATACCCAATGACATCTCTATACTCCCTTAAAACAACTAGGAGTTTCTCAAGAGAGGTGTCATCGAGCTTAGCATTGTCAATAACGGGATAACTCTCACTATCACCAAGAAAAGAATATTTAAGTAGAGGGGGAAGGGGTTTAAGTTCAACCTTAGGAGAAGGCGTAAACCTCTCCTTTTTTGCTTCCACGTTAAGCACTTCAAATTTCATCACATCGTGGACCAAAAGTTGGTTGAGTAAGAGATCATACCCCTTTGCTTCTTCACCCTCCTCAACTAAGCTTCACGTTAGGGTAGCTTGTAAGGGATCTCTTTCACACAATCTTTCTCGGAAATCTTCTAAGTCCCTCTCCAATGTGTCAATTCTATGAACCTCATCAATCAATGGCTTTTTCAAAGTTTGTGAGAATGAATTTGAAATTTTCTCATCTCCCACATTCAAAGTCAATCTTCCTTCCTTCATATCAATCGCCACTCCCGCGGTGTTCAGAAATGGTCTCCCCAAAATGAGGGGTACTCTTGTATCTTCTTCCATCTCCATTACCACACAATCACATGGCACATATACTCTTCCAACTTGAACCGGCACATCTTCAAGAATCCCCAAAGGTAGCCTAACCGTGCGGTTGGCTAGTTGTAAGGACATTCTTGTTGGTTTCAAGTCTCCAACTTTCAAGCTCTTTGCAATAGAATAGGGCATCAAGCTCACACTTGCCCCAAGATCACACAAAGCATCCATAGTCTCCAAATCTCTAATTTTCACCAGTATTGCATAGCTACCGGGGTCACCAAGCTTTTGGGGAAGCTTGTTTTGAATGATTGCACTCACCTCCTTAGGAAGGGAGATGGTTGCACTCTCTTCAAGCCTACTCTTGTTGGATAGAAGATCCTTCAAAAAATTTGCATAGGTAGGCATTTGTGACATAGCATGAAGAAAGGGGATGTTCACTTGAAGTCCTCTCATGACTTCAAGAAATTTTGAAAACTTCTCATTCAACTTTTTCTCTACAATTCTATGAGGAAACGGAATGGGGGGCTTATATACTCTCATAAGGGGCCTTTCTATTCTTTCTTCATCTCCCTCATCTTTCTTTGTGGCTCCCTCATCACTCTTTTGTTGCTTTTTTCTCTCAACTTCAACTACTTCATTTTCGATATCATCCTCACTTCTCACCACAACTCCCTCATCTCTCTTTTGTGGCTCCTCTTCACTCATAACCGGATCCTCGTAACCTCTTCCCGATCTCAAAGTAATAGCCTTAGCTTGCTCCTTTGGATTCAATACCGTTGAGCTTGGAAAGTGACCACTAGGATTGGAGGATGAACTTCCAACTTGCTGTGCAATTTGAGCCAATTGGCTCTCCATTATCTTATTGTGCGCTTGAAGTAGTTAGATGTTTGCATTCATATCTGCATTGCTCCTTAATTATTGTGTCATGAAAGTTTCAAGGACGGATAAAAGGCTAGTCTTTTGAGGATGTGGACGAGGAGCAGTGGGTTGGTTATATTGTGATCTTAGATGGTTTTGATCCCTTTGGTTAGGGTGGCGGTATGGAGCTTGTTGATTTTGAGAATGGGGTTGGTTGTAGTGGTTTTGAGGTTGGTTTTGGTTTTGGTTATAGTTGTTTTGTGGGGGGCCTTGGTTGTGTAGCTTCCATCCCGTGTTTTGTTGGGGTTTCCAACTTTGGTTGTAGGATTGGGATTATTGCTCATTTCTTTTCCCAATTGCCGCCGCTTGCTCTTGATTTGTTGAGTTGCGATAGGAGGACATGTGATAATTTCCTCTACAAGTCTCACAAGACATGACTTGTGAGGAAGAGCTTGAGAGTGTGAGGGTGGCTTGATCTAGCTTGTGAGCTAGCATATCGAACTTTGATGCAATAAGATCTATTGCAATAAGATCATGAACTCCGCCCTTCTTTGTTTGAGGTTGTCTTCGATCACCTCCATATGCATAATGCTTGGCCACTTCCTCAATCATCTTATATGTATCATCAACCAATAGCTTTTTTAGGCTACCACCGACCCCGGAATCAAGGTTGGCCCTTGAAATAGGAGTAAGGCCATCATAGAAGCTTTGTACAATGATCCATGATGTAAAACCATGGTGGGGGCATTTCCTTGTGTAATCTTTGAAACGCTCCCAAGCTTCACTAAATGTTTCATCAGTGTCTTGATTGAAATTGGTGATCTCTCTTCTTAATTCGGCGGTCTTTTCCGGAGGAAAATACTTTCCAAAAAAGGCTCTAGGGACTTCATCCCATGTACTCAATGATCCCTCTTCAACCGTTCTTAACCAATGCTTTGCTTTATTACGGAGGGAGAATTGATACATGTGCATACGGATGAACTCTTCCGAAATGTTGTTTTGCTTGATGGTTGTACACAACTCAAGAAAGTTGTCCAAATGAGAAAAAGGACACTCATGAGGACTACCTCCGAATTGATTGCTTTGAATCATACGAATGAGTTGAGGTGAAAGCTCGAAGTTGTTTGCATTTGTGGTGGGGAGACGTATGCCACTCCCAAGTTGGAATGCGTTGGGGTGGTCATAGTCCCTTAACAATGGTTGTAGAGGATTCTCTCCCATGTTATCTTCTTCGTTGGTTCCCAAAACCTCTTCCGGATCGGAATCTGAATATGCAGGGGAGGACTCGGGTGTGCCTTGCAAAAGTCTCCTCACGTTTCTCAAGGTCCTATTTAGCTCTGGATCTACGAGAATTAGCGGTGATTGCTTACTCTTTCGTGTCATGCGAAGTCAAACAAAGCTAAGAAAAATGTTAGCAATGACTATCACAAGTTAAACACACATAAAAAAAAGTTATGGTAAGAAAACTATTATACATATACACACATTTAGTCTCATTCAACAATAATACATACAATGTGACATAGCCTCCCCGGCAACGGCGCCAAAATTTGATAGGCCGTCGTCGAGCCTACCAAAATATAAATTCCTATCTTGGTCTCACTAACTAATTGTTGGGTTTCGTAGTGACCCTCACTACGATGAAAGAAACCCGCCAAGACCCGCCCCCATAATAAATGCAATTAACAAGCAAAACATAATTAAAACACAAGAAAGGATAAAATATTATACCTTTGACGCGTGCTTCACTCAACTATGAGCTCTTACTTGAACCCCGAAAGTACAAGGTCTTCAACGGGATCGTACCCTCGAACCCAACCCGAGCGTCCTAAGTCTCGAAGGTTAGTCGAGACCCGAACAAATAAAACTATGAGTTTTACGAATCAAGGTTTACTCAAATCAAGAGTTGCCTTTTAATTCCACTCAAGGTTGTGTCTTTCCCAATACCCATGCCTTTGGTATATATAGGGAAAGGCACCCTTGATTTCCAATCTCCCATCAATGTGGGAGAGTTGGTAAATTCAACAATTTATTTAATTCCAAATTAAATAAATAATTAAATCAATCACAATGCAACAAGTGTCAAGGGGAGATAGAGAGTTAGGTGAGGACCATGAATAGGTGGGGGGGACCATTGCCTTGCTCCCCAAGGCTTTGCCCAAGCCTTGGTCCCCACCCCTCACATAACCGGCATCAAGGGGCTGCTGGGCTGCTGCCAGCTAGCACGCTAGCTAGCATTACTAGCTAGCCCAGCCAGCCAGCACAAGGCAGCAAGCATCAGCCCAGCCAGGCATACGCGCTGCATGCTGCTATGCTGGGAGATGCCCATGCTGCGGCTTGTTAGGCATTGGGCGCTGGGCGCTACTGGCTGCCTAGCACTCCCTATCGCACGTACATGCATACGCCTACCCAGCATGCGTGCTGCTAGCGAGCCACGCATGCTGGGCATCGCCTCTCGTATATCTACGCACAGCCAGGCCAGTATGCACTAGCACTCGCACACGCACATGTATAGGTGCGCTGTGCTTGGTGTGTGGCCTGCGATGGTGCCTACACACACGCACACACGCAAGGCTAGTTCTGCTTGCTAGCTCGTTGTGCTTAGTGCTGCCATGCGAAGACACGCACGCAAGCACACAGCTCGGTGCTGCATTGCGAGGCTGCTAGGCGATGGTGGACACGCACACACGCATGTGCCTAGCACTGCGATGGTGCTGTGCGTGATGCTAAGGTGCTACAATAGTGCCCACGCACATGCACACACACATGGGTGTTGTGCTTGGTGCGATAGGGCTGCGATGGTGCGAGGCATGCACGCACATGCCTATGCGCCAGTGCCCAGCACTGCGATGGTTGTGCTTGGTGCGTGTGGCCTGCCATGCGCGCCTAGGCATGGTGCTAGGGCTGCGATGGCGCCTAGGCATCATGCTAGGGCTGCGATGGCGCCTGGGCACTCATGCCTCGCCTAGCATACCATGGTGCGCCTAGCACACACATGGTGCGCATAGGCTTGCAATGAGCTAGCCTAGCCTAGCTACGGCTATGCTCATACTTGTTGCTTGTGATTTTGTGACGCTCGGTCTCGACGCCCTAGGCTCGATATCCGACGTCTGTATTCATAAAACTCTGTCGACTCATTAAATCCTTCGGATTAATTCGTCGTCTCGGATCGGTTGTTCGATTGGGTCGACCCGAAGGGTTCAGTTAAGATTAAGTTGTAATATTAATTGTACCTTAATATTACTGATCGGAAGCGGCCTCCACCTAGGCATTCCGATCACTTGACCTTATTGAAGAATTAGCTTTGTAATAATTCTGAACCCTCTATTAGAATAATACACTTGTTGGAATGACACCATTCCTTTCACTAATTGCAATGGTAAGAAAGGGTCGAACCCAAGAAAAGCGTTGAATCAACCACCGAGGTACTACCGTTTAAAAAAGCTAAATGAAGTCGAAGTTGGTTTCTAAAATCCATCTGAGCATGGCCATGCATTTTCACAGTCTCGCTCATCGAGCGGCCTTGTAAACAACAAAGACATATTCCTAATTGTTAATAGGGGGACATTCCTAGTCTTGATTGTAAGTTTCTCTTACTAAGAGGACCTAATCTCCCGAGTGTTCCCGTTATGATCCCCAGTTACGGCAGACGTTAGGCAACATCAAAGAGACTAGTTCTCGAACAAGAAAACTTCACAATACTCATGGTCGAGGAAACGAGTTCCGATAGCTATAATGAGAAATGTACTTATGACAATTTGAATCTCTTAAAGTACTCTCATAGGTCGATCCAGTGTAGTTCCAAACTGGCACCTGTGCAAATGATTTATGACCATCATGTCCTTGCAGCACAAGAAACGGTGCTGTAAATCATACTACACACTAATCTCTGGTGGTCATGAATCGTCCATCAGTTAGATGACCTCGATTAGGGATAACTTTCAATTTAAATATTCAATGTTCACTTAACAGGTGTTTCTTTTATCCAAGACATGGTCTTGATACCCTGTTTGGAATATTTCCATAAATTGAATGGACTCATTATTTAATTCTAAACCATAACTAAATAGCAATGGAGTGAATGATAATTTTGCACAAAAATTAATTACTCCATTAATGAATGGTTTCAATACAGTGTCTTACATTAAATCAAACAGTTTAATCAATACAGATATCTATCGGTCCCTTGATGGAGGGTACAACACCAAGTTCACTGACGAACTTCCGAATCCAAACAACCTCCTTAGCAGCTTCTGAAGCAGCCAAGTATTCGGCTTCAGTTATAGAGTCTGTAGTTGTGCTCTGCTTGGCACTCTTCCAGCTAAATGCTCCTCCATTTAGGCAAAATATGTACCCTGACTGTGACTTGAAGTCGTTTTTGTCAGTCTGGAAGCTAGCATCAGCGTAACCTTCAACAACCAGATCTTTATGGCCACCATAAACCAGGAATTTATCCTTGTTCCTTTTCGAGTACCTCAGGATATTCCTAGCCGCAGTCCAATGCGCCTCTCCTGGGTTTGATTGGTATCGGCTCGCAGCACTCAAGGCATACGAGACATCTGGCCTGGTACATATCATGGCATACATGATCGACCCAATTAGCGAAGCATATGGAATCTGATCCATTCTCCCTCGCTCAACAGGTGTCTGTGGACACTGTTTCTTGTTGAGAGTTACGCCATGGGACATGGGTAGATGCCCTCTCTTGGCATTCTCCATGTTGAATCGTGCCAGTACTTTATCAATGTAAGTACTCTGGCTCAATCCAATCATCCTCTTAGATCTATCCCTGTAGATCTTGATGCCCAATATGTACTGTGCCTCTCCTAAGTCCTTCATTGAAAAGCACTTTCCCAACCAGCCCTTTACGGACTGCAGTAATTTTGTGATGTTTCCAATGAGCAGTATGTCATTGACATATAGGACTAGGAATGCGATGTCACTCCCACTGACCTTCTTGTATACACAAGATTCATCTGGATTCTTGATAAATCCAA